GCGTTACATTCTTTTTGAAATTGGAAGGGTATTTATGTTTTTTTGCCTTTCACTTATTTTAATAATTTTTAAATCTCGACAATGGTACTTTGTAAAATAGGCATTTACAACGTAAATTTGTACATTTCATCGTCTGTTCCCATCACAACCATCTCATATTCTCATTGTCACCATCGTTGCTGCCGAAACAACCACCACTTCAACAAATTATATTACACCATTGAGATAGTATATTACAGTGCACCACCATTATCATCAGATATGCACCACCACCTCAAGCAAATACTATCATAGTTGCCCTAAATACCACCAACATAAACGACATCATCACACCAATTCACCTCCATATGACATTAGCCACCCCATCTCACCACCATAACAAATCGTCGCAAAAAGTCATCGTCACCAATCTGCATCATCTCTCACCGCCACAAGTTCACTTAATGGAAAATCATGCTCGCACCGGCGAGCATTGGTCTCGCTGGTGAGGGCATGGCACCAATTTGAGAAGGGGAAGAAAATGCTTTTATTCTGGCCGTCGTGCATTATAATATTTTTCTCGATTCTTTACTTGTCCTATTTATAATTTATAAATTACAAGCCTAACTTATATTATTTTCATGTCATCATATCGAAAATGGATCAAACATTAAAACCCCAATTTTGAAAATATTTTAACAACAGACAATAATATATATTGAACTGCCCTAAGTTCAAACTAGTATTCATAACTCATCATTTTCTCACATTGATGTTTTGCTCGGACTTGAGGTCCAAGAGGCGGTCGCCTCATGCCCAGCATACGGATACTCGCAATTCACGCACTCAACATTCTGCACATGACCAAAGTCTGCCATCTTTCGCATCGTACCTACCATTGGGGCAATTTATGCTCGTGTCGTCGATAAATCCTGGACATCCATCAGTAATCCCACGCATGTTGCCAAGAAATTCCACACGTGCCACTCTCTAAACTCGTCCTTGGAATGCTTCCAACATGTGAATCACGCACTGCATAGCTTCTGTCCTTGTGCCGGGGCGGATGTAGGGCCCAGGCTAACCCCAACCCATTTTGTTTTTTCCTTTAAAAAACTTGAGATTTTTTTTTTTTGGATCGTAGCTCCATCCTATATTGTAGGACGTGTGTATTTCTGCCTATGCCAAAGGGATTATTCCAAATGTAGAAGAATTTTTCACATAAATTTTACACCCCCTCACGTGTGTGGGGCCCACCAGAATAAAAA